CTCGTGGCTCGTGGCTCGTGGCTCTACTCAGACACGCTACACTCACGACTCGGCAAAACTTGAGCTTGCGGAGCAACTGGAGGATGCATCATCTCCCACTCTGCTGACTGCGCAATAGAAGACTGGAGCCTGGAGCCTGCTGCGTTGGGCAGTCAAGTCCAGGGCGCTCAGTCGCGTCACCAAGCCTGCCGCCGCCAAGTCCCCGAGCGCAGGCACACGAACGCAAGACCTACCATCACCATGACTGACCCCGGATCGCCACGTTCGTTGTCTCGCCAATCACGAATCATACTCACGATGCCTTGCTCATTGCTACACGGTGGTGTAAAGGATGGGTGCCCCTGCACCGCTGATTGCGCTGAGCATGCATCACTTGTCAGCCTGATGCGTGAAGCTGGCAACTCATAGATTCTCTAGGCAGTCCGCATGCTCTTTGATTATTTCGTGATCCCCGAGCTGTAGCTCAGAAGGGGCCATGAGAGTGACAAGCCCAACGATAGAGGCGATGCGCTACATGTGATCGCGCCACAAAGCCGAAAGCTTTCTCGACACGGGCCCTTGTAATTTGGCACGTTCACAATAACAATTTGAACCGACGTGAATCTGGGATAATCGTAAGTCACGATCAGCATTCAGGACTGATGAGTCACTGTGAGCGTATCACAAATGTCGACGACGAGCGGGATGCGCAGGGTGCGCGACATGAAAGCGCAGAGAATCGTGAATGCAAGTCGAGTCCAGACAGCGCGACACTGTCGAGAAATTTACCAAAAAGTCAAAGTGCACAAATGTTCAGAGATCTCTTCAAACCCGGAGCATCACGATTTCACTTTCAATTCTCACTGTAGGTCACGGGCCGCGCGTGTCTCAGATCAGCTCTGAGTTATATGCTGCACAGCACCAACCCCCCCTACTCGGACCATATCACGAGGAAGCGACGCTTCGATAGACCCTTCGATCTTGGGTTCGGGCCTTTAATCCATCTGCGTCAAAGGGAAGCTCACTCTCGTCGTTCTCACTTGAAGAGCGACCTTTTCGGGGATTCACAGGCCACTTCATCCCTCGAACAACCACGAAGCACGAACGCGAATGGTAGGTGCTAAGCATCTGGATTCGCTCTAGCCCTGGAGCGGCTGCTCGAGACACAAGAGGCCCGTATGGACGGCCTAACTC